TCTTTCTTTCTTTCTTTCTTTCTTTCTTTCTTTCTTTCTTTCTTTCTGCAAATCCTCCTAGGGCAGTTATCTGGCTCCCCGGAAATTCTTCGGCGCCTCTTTTCTGCGCCTGTTCTGACCGGCCTGCTCCTTCATCTTCCTCCCTTGTCCTTTGTGTGGGGAGGGCTGCTTTTTGTCCATGACCTTGTCCCACTCTTTAAACAAGGGAGCATCTCAGCCTACAGAACGGCAGTGGGGAAGGTGGGGGGGGGGGCTGCCTTCCCACCCACTGAGATTATGGGGAAGGGAGGCAGTTGGCTTCAGGGCGGGTAATAAAAGCAGATTTATGGACCCGGCCCCAGAACAGCATCTGCAGCTCGTGAGCAAGTCTTAAATTTCATTAGGTGATAAATTCCAACAGCAAAAGCCATTTGCTAGGAAAGCTAATTAGCTCCCACGAGCCACAGACATCGACTCCGGTACCCTGCCTGGGGGAGACTTCCCGCCCCCCCCCCCCCCGCCATTGACTGGGGGGGAGGGGGGGGGGGGGGGGCTAGTGGGCCAACGGGAGGGCCAGGGGAGGGGGGCAAAGGTTGGGTTTGGGGGGCACCGTCTCCGGCTTTCTCTGCCCTTTTCTGCAGTTTGGTGAGGTTTGATCTCTGGACCTCCAGAAGTTGTGGATTACTCCATCGCTGAAGGCTTTTAAGAAGAGGCTGAACAACCATTGTTTCGAAATGGTCTAGGCCAGTGATGGCGAACCTTTTTGTTGTGGTGTGCTGAAAGTGTGCGGGCGCTGGCACTCACAATCCAATGCCCCCCCCCCCCCCCGTGCATGTGTGTGCAACGACCCCTGCCCTGCCCCCTTACCTGCACTGCGCATGTGTGCGCCTCCCAGCTGGTTTGAGGCCATTTTCGCCCTCCTGGGGGCTCGAGGGAAGCCACTGCAACCTTGGGAGGCCGAAAAACGGGCCCGTTTCAGCACTTCCGGTATTTCCGGAAGGCCCGTTTTTCGTCCTTCTGAGGCTGCAGAGGCTTCCCTCGAGCCCCAGGAGGGCGAAAATGGCCTCAAACGGGCCCAAAATCAGCCGGGAGGCCTGCGCATGTGCAGTGCAGGTAACTTTGACTGGGGCTTACACGCCCGCACACAAACGGCTTTGCGTGTCAGCTGTGGCACACGTGTCATAGGTTTGCTATCATGGGTAGAGGCTCTCCCGTTTGGGTTGGACTAAAAGACCTCTAAGGTCCCTTCCAACTCTGTTAAGCTGTGATTCTGAGTCAGGAGAAAACGGTGAGCACAACCAACCAATGGAATAGTTTCTCTCCAGAAGGGAATGGAGGCTTTCAGAAGAGATTGGACAACCAGCTGTCTGAAATGGTACCCTATAGGGTTTCCTGCCTGACCAGGGGGTTGGACTAGAGGACCTCCAAGGTCCCTTCCCACTCTATTGTTCTATGTTCTGTGTTCCAGAGGTTGAGCGTGCTCCAACACTGGAGGATTTTAAGAGTGACTGGACAGCTACTTGTCCAGAATGGTATAAGGTCTCCTGCTTGAGCAGGGGGTTGGACTAGAAGACCTCCAAGGTCCCTTCCAACCCTGTTATTCTGTGTTCTATGTGCTAAGCTGACTGTCCTTGGTCAAATGTTGGGATACAATGCACAGAAAATCCGACTTTCTTGCATTATGGGGCCTGGTCTGTTTAGTTCATGACAGCCAGGGGTGTCCACAGACTGTGGTCAAAACAACCCATGTGGCACTACCTTGATTTTTTTTTGAGGTCTGTGTGTGTGTGCGTGTGTTGCAAACACCCCTGAATTGGCAGCTTAAAGAGATAAACATCACCCCATCTCTGCCAGGAAGGTGTCAGCTGTAGACCAAAAGTGGACACCTTGTGTCTTTTTCTCTGCTGTGACCTTCTCCACACCACATCACAAAGGTTCCTGGAACGTACAGAGTATCAACTCATAAAATATTTCTGTGGTCTTTTTAGAGTTGCCAACAGAAAGGGAGGGAGGGGGGAGCAGTGCAGCAGCTTGCAAACCGAAAGTGCATTCCACAAATGTTATCAAAGATAGTAACTAGGCGACTGAAGTTTCCGCTGTGCAAAATTCAAACTGGAGAGCATGATGGATGACTCTGGGCTATGGATGTGTCCCATTGGAGAATATGATTTATGATACAGTGCCGGCATGATTACTCCCAATAAATCCTTTTGAAGTTTTGGAAGTTTGGCTCGAGGCTCATGATTTAAATGGGGGGGGGAACTTCTGGAATCCTGACACAGAGCTTGTGGGGGTTTGCAAGGTTGTCGTTTTGCGCTGCGGTGCCAGTTCTGTGCATGTTGGCAGGGATTTTGTGCGTGAGGGAGGGGACATTGCAAGCAAGCCTGGGAGGACCAGGAAATGTGTGCATCGGGTGTGCATTCCCCCCACTTAAGGGATGCTGAAGGGGGCTTAAAGCATTCCCCAGTAAATCTCTCTTCCCCCTCCCGCAGCGTGCACATGGCAGGCTTTCTTCTGAGGTGTGTGTGTGTGTGTGTGTGTGTTCGTGTAGGGGCCTCCCGCCTCAGTCACAGGCATCCATAAATATAACTTTGCAAAACAGACGGGAAAAGAAGGCGACACAATTCTCGGGGAAAGTCACAAACGCACCACATGGGACCTGGGTTTCCCTTCCTTCGGACGGCCTTCGAAGCTGCATGCAAAAAAACACGGAATTTTTGTATGTATGTATGTATGTATGTATGATTTCGAACAGCCCAGGGTGCCTTGTTGTGTCTTAAATCTTCCTCCTCCCCTTTTCCACTAGTACAACACCAACCCTGTGAGGTGGGCCAGGCTGGAAGGGGAGGACCCGCCCCAAAGTCACCCAATGGTTTTCTGTGCCTAAGGCAGAGGTAGAGCTCACCAACTCCTGGGGGTTGGCCCAAAGTCAGCCACCCAGCCGGCTTTCGTGCCCAAGGCAGGACTGGAACTCACTGCTGCCTGGTTTCCAGCCTGGCATCTTAACCGCTGGATCAAAGAGGCTCTCCCCTTAGGATCATAGAACTAGAGTTCTGGGCACCCAAGTGGTCATCCAAATGGACTTTATTTTATTGTATATTGTATTATATTATTGTTCTGTTCTGTTCTGTTCTACTCTACTCTACCCCATTCCATTCCATTCTATTCTATTCCATTCTATTCTATTCTATTCTATTCTATTCTATTCTATTCTATTCTATTCTATTCTATTCTATTCTATTCTATTCTATTCTATTCTATTCTATTTCTATTCCATTCCATTCCTTTCATTTCTATTATTTCTATTTCTATTTCTGTTCCGTTCCGTTCTATTCTATTCCATTCTATTCTATTATTCTATTATTATTCTATTTCTATTCCATTCCATTCCATTCCTTTCATTTCTATTTCTATTTCTATTCCTATTCTATTCCATTTCGTTCCATTCTTAATTTCTTTGCTGCCCATCCCCCTGGGGGGGCGTCATCCGAGGGAGGGGTGGGGGCGGCGGCCTCTGCCTCGGGATCCTAGCCCGCGCGGGGGAGGGGACCCGGAAGGTCATCTCTCCCCCCCCCCCTACCCTGGCGCCCCCCCCTCGACCCTTCTGCTCTGCTCTCTGTGCCCGCAGGTGGTGAAGGTGGCGGGCAGCAACATCTCGCACAAGCTGCGCCTCTCGCGGGTCAAGCCGGCCGACGAAGGGACCTACGAGTGCCGCGTGATCGACTTCAGCGACCGGCAGGCGCGGCACCACAAGGCCAAGGCGTACCTGCGGGTGGAAGCCGAGGACAGCGGGGGCCCGGCCGGCGGAGGCGGCGGCGGAGGCGGCGGCGGCCGTCCCCTGCAAGACACGCAGCTGCTGCTCCTGGCCGCCGGGCAGAGCCCCGAGCGCGGCAGGCCGGCCGCCCCCCGCCCGCCCCACCCGCCCCGCCTGGCCAAGGAGCTGAAGAAGCGCTCGCTGGACGAAGCCCCCGCCTGCGCCCGCTAGAGACCCCGCACCCGCCCGCCCACTCCCCCGGAGCCCGGACCGCCTGAGCTGCGCCCCGCAGGGGGAGGGTCTCCATCTCCGCGCGCGCCCCCCTCCTCCTCCCCGCCCGGAGCTCTTGGACCGGGGAGGGGGGGGGGTCCCCTCCTAAGACCCCGCGCAGCCAGAGAGCGGTAACCACGAACTTGCTGCGGAGGAGGAGGAGGAGGAGGAGGAGGATCGCTCGCACCCGGACTGGCGCAACTGCGCGCCCCCTCGCCTGTAAATAAGCCCAACCTCTCCCCCCAACCCCACCCCCCAGGCTCCCCGCCAGCAACCTCCGAGGCTCGGTGGGCGTGGGTTGGAGGGCGTCCCGCTGGAGCCAAAGAAGGCGGCGGTGGGTGGGTGGGGATCATGGGAAGGTGGGAAAAAACTGGGGAAGGGGGAGGTCTGTGGGCTGGGAAGGCACCCCCCCCTCCCCCTTCTGCCCCAGATCCTCTTCTGCGGGATGGGGGGGGGGGGGGATTGATCCCGGCTGCATATTCACACAACATGCTGGTTTGGGTTTGTCCGGCTTCCTTAGAATCCCCGTCGCTCCGTGTCTCGTGCGCCCCTTGCCCCGCCGTCCGTGGGAAGCCCGTGGATGGGCCGCTATTAGTTCTCCTCCCACGGCGGCGGGGGGGAGGGGGGGGGGGGGG